ATGGACGGGGCAAGGAGTCAGGTCAGGGGTCAGGAGTCGAGTCAGGGGTCAGAAGTCGAGTCGGGTCAGGTCAGGGGTCAGGAGTCAGGTCAGGTCAGGGTCGGGTCAGGAGTCGGGTCAGGGGTCAGGAGTCGAGTCAGGAGTCGGGTCAGGGGTTAGGTCAGGAGTCGGGTCAGGAGTCGAGTCAGGGGTCAGGAGTCAGGGTCAGGGGTCAGTCAGGAGTCGAGTCAGGGGTCAGGAGTCAGGTCAGGAGTCGAGTCAGGGGTCAGGAGTCGGGTCAGGGTTAGGTCAGGAGTCGGGTCAGGGGTCAGGAGTCGAGTCAGGGGTCAGGAGTCGAGTCAGGTCAGTCGGGTCAGTCGGGTCAGGAGTCGAGTCAGGGGTCAGGAGTCAGGTAAGGGGTCAGGAGTCGAGTCAGGGGTCGGGTCAGGGGTCAGGAGTCGAGTCAGGGGTCAGGAGTCGGGTCAGGGGTCAGGTCAGTCGGGTCAGGGGTTAGGTCAGGAGTCGGGTCAGGGTTAGGAGTCGAGTCAGGGTCAGGAGTCGAGTCAGGGGTCAGGAGTCGGGTCAGGAGTCGGGTCAGGGTTAAGTCAGGAGTCGGGTCAGGGGTCAGGAGTCGGGTCAGGGGTCAGGAGTCAGGGTCAGGAGTCGGGTCAGGGGTCAGGAGTCGAGTCAGGGGTCAGGAGTCGGGTCAGGGGTCGGGTCAGGAGTCGGGTCAGGGGTCAGGAGTCGGTCAGGGTCAGGTCAGGGGTCAGGAGTCGGGTCAGGAGTCGAGTCAGGGGTCAGGAGTCGGGTCGGGGGTCAGAAGAACCTTTGTCCAGACGTTTGTTCTTTAGTTTCATTCAGACGTTTAACATGTTGAGTTTTTCTGTTAAACTGAAAACACGACGTTCCACTTTGTGATGTCATTAAGTGGTGACACAGGAAGTGCTCCACAAACATTTAGATTCAAACACGACTGAAAGAAAAAGAAAAGAAAAAGAAAAAGAAAAAAAGAAAAGAAAAGAAAAGAAAAGTCATTTGACAGAGACAGAGGATTTATTTATCAAACTCACAGATTTACACAAGATCCAGAACAAAGACTGAACTGTAAACCCAGACCCGGACCAGACCCAGACCTGGACCCAGACCCAGACCTGGACCTAGACCCGAACCCGGACCTGGACCCAGACCCAGACCTGGACCTAGACCCAAACCCGGACCTGGACCTAGACCCAGACCCAGACCTGGACCCAGACCTGGACCCAGACCCAGACCGGACCTAGACCCAAGACCCGGACCTGACCCAGACCTGGACCAGACCCGGACCTGGACCCAGACCTGGACCTGGACCTGACCTGGACCCAAAGACCGGACCTGGACCTAGACCCAGACCCGGACCTGGACCTAGACCCTGGAGAGACCCGGACCTGGGACCCAGAGACCCAGACCCAGACCTGGACCCAGACCTGGACCTGGACCTGGACCCAGACCTGGACCTAGACCCAGACCCAGACCTGGACCTGGAGACCCTAGACCCACCCGGACCTGGACCCAGACCTGGACCCGAGACCCAAACCTGGACCCAGACCTGGACCGGAGACCCAGACCTGGACCCAAGACCCGGACCCGGACCCAGACCTGGACCCAGATCCCTCCAGACCAGGTTCAGACCCCCAGGTCCAGACCCAGTCCCAGGTCCTTGTCCAGTCCATTGTCCTCCAGGTCCAGTCCCAGTCCTTGTCCAGGTCCAGACCCAGTCCCAGGTCCTTGTCCAGGTCCTTGTCCGGGTCCAGGTCCTCGAGTCTTGTGTCTGGATCTTCGGGTCATTTGAAGTTTGTGTAAAAGTCACAAACTGAACAGCTGCATGGTTCACATTTAAATAAAACACATTTGACACAAACTGAACGCCTGAAAGGTTTTATCCTCTGCACCTCTGAGCTCCAGTGACAGAAAACCTCAGCTCCTGCTCTCGTTCAAACATCTAAACTCTACGTTTAACTCTCCAGATTCAACACTGACAAATGAACAACGACTTTCCAACGAGGCAGAATTTCATTTGAACCGAGGGATTTTCATTTGAGACACAGAATCTGGAAAGTTTGACCAGACGAAAGCAGAGTGAGAGAAAGTCTCGTTTGACAGGCAAAAACCGAGCTACAGACACAAAACTCATCCAGCTCCGAGTTTAAAAGTGAAAAGAGTTTTCCACAGTCGACCGTCCAGACGCTTTTTTACATCTGGACCAAAACGACGGTGCCCAGTCCTACGAGGTTCACCGACGCCAGGGTCTGGAGTCCAGGATTAAAGTTTCCTCAAACATGAATCACTCCAAGTAAACGTCAGAGGATCAGAGAAAAGAAACGACGAGAACCTGGAGAAACATCTGAGGAGAAGAGTTTGGGAGGTTCTTCAGACGGTTCTTCAGACGGGGTCTTTGAGGGGAGGTTCTTCAGCAGGTTCTTCAGCAGGTTCTTCAGAGGGGCTCTCAGGTGGGGGGTGGGGTTTGTCTTTGTGGACTCTCCTCTGATGGGCCTTCAGTTGGGGACAGCGCTTAAAACATTTACCGCAGAACGAACAGACGAAAGGTTTGGCGTCGGAGTGAATGACCTGGTGCAGTTTCAGATAATCTTTATGAGCGAAAGTCTTCTGACAGACGGGACAGCTGAAGGGTTTCTCTCCCGTGTGGACGGACATGTGCATCTGCAGATTCCGAATCCTCCGGAACTCCTTCCCGCACAGTGAACAGCTGAATGCTCTGGAGTGTTCACGCTCCACGCCCGCCTGGTCCAGGGAGCCGTCCTCCTCGTGCGCGCTCAGATGTTCCGTCAGATCCGAGTCTCTCTGGAATTCTTCTTTGCAGACGGGGCAGGTGCAGTGCGAGATCCTCAAGTGTTTGTTCAGGATTTGCTGTTCTCGAAAACTTTTGCCGCAAACTGAGCAGCTGAAGGGTTTTTCCGAGTGAATGCGCATGTGTTTGGTGAATCCCGACTTGCGTTTGAACTCCCTGCCGCACCGTGAGCAGCTGTAAGGTTTCCAGTTGACTCGGGTCAGAAAGAGCGGGTCGAGGGTCCCGTCCTCCACGTGGGACCTCAGATGTTCGCTTAGGTCGGAGCTGGAGAGAAACGCCTCCTCGCAGACCTGACACGTGCAGTGGACGAAGCGCAGGTGCTGGTTGAGGGCGTTTTTGGAGTTAAAGCCGTTGCCGCAAACCGAACAGCTGAAGGGTTTTTCTCCTAAGTGGACGAGCATGTGCTCCTGCAGGTGCGCCTCTTTTCTGAAGGGTTTCTCGCACATGGCGCAGCTGAAAAACGGCGTCATGTAATCCCGCTGCAGCGCCGACTGGTCCAGGGTCCCGTCCTCCACGTGGACCTTCAGGTGCTGGTTGAGTTGGGTTTTGTTCTGGAGCTGCTGGCCGCACGCGGGGCAGACGTGGTGGGCGTGTCTCTGGTGTTTGGTCAAGTCGCACTTTCTCTTGATCTCTTTGTCGCAGATCGAACACCTGAAGGGTTTCTGCTCCTCGTGCGTTTTCATGTGAGCCTCCAGCGCGGATTTGGATTTAAACTCTTTGTGGCAGAAGGCGCATTTCCGGGCCTGCGCGTGCGTCTGCAGATGCTCCGACAGCTCCGACTCGTTTGGGAATTCCTGGCCGCACTTGGAGCAGGACTTGGGGAGGGACGTCCTGGCGGCGTCGTCGTCCTCTTCGTGAGACGTCAAGTGTTTGTTCAGTTTGGTTTTGTCCGGAAAAGCTTCTTTACAAACGGGGCACATGCCGTGTTTCCCTCGCAGGTGCTCGCTCAGTTTGGACTTACACTTAAAGGTTTTGTGGCACTCGGGGCATTTGCGGGCGCTCTCCTTGCACTGGTCCAGGTGAGCGCCGAGCTGCGTCTTGTTGGAGAAGCGTCTGCGACACACGGGGCACATGTGGTGGTGGTGCCTCAGGTGGAGCGCCAGGTAATTTTTGTGTTTGTAGCTCTTCTCGCACACCGAACAGCTGTAAGGTCGGCCCTTCACGTGCACCGACATGTGACTCTGCAAGATCCATTTCTTCGCAAACTTCATCCCACACTCGGGGCACTTGTAGCGCCCCCCCCTGGTGTGGTAATACATGTGCAGCTCCAGACTCTCTTTGCTCCGAAACCTCTTCCCGCACTCTGAACAGCTGTAAGGTCTCTGGTCTGAACAGCTGGAGGGTCTACGGTCTGAACAGCTGGAGGGTCTGTGGTCTGGAGGTACGGCGGCGTAGCTTCGTTTGGTCGGAGTCTGTTCTTGGCCGTAGTCCTCGGATTGGTCGGTGTCGTCCGAGTCCTGGTCCTCGCGGTCTGAACAGCCGTATGGTCTGGGTCGTTCTCCGTCGGGTTTCTCCTCGGCCGGAGTTTGACGACGCACGAAGGACTTGTCGTCGTTGTCGTCGTCTCCTTCTTCTTCTTCCTCGGTTTTGATGACGATGTTTAAGGGGAAGTCCTGCGGCTCCTGTTTGACGTGCGGCTCCGGCTCCGTCCTGAACACAAACAACGCCAACATCAGCGCCAATAAACACTGCAGTGCTTCGTCTGCTTGCTAGTGTGATGTGCAGTTTACGGCCACGTCAGCTCCGCTGGACACCACAGTTTTCTCATTTTTTATTTATTTTTTTATTCATTCATTCATTTTTCCCCAGTTTTTTATGTTAATGTATTATTCTTTTTTTCTTGTACTATCATTATTATTTTTATTATCATCATCATCATTATTATTATTATTATTATTATCATGTATTTTTATTATTATTATTATTATTTTATCATTATCATCATTATTATTATCATTTATTATTATTATTATGTTATTATAATTTTTTACTATCATCATCATCATTATTATTATTATTATTATTATTATTATTATTATTATTATCATTATTATTTTATTCATTATTATTATCATTATTATTATTATTATTATCATCATCATCATTATCATTATTATTATTATTTTTTTTATTATTATTATTTTTTGTACTATCATTATTTTCATTATTATTATCATTATTTTTATTATCATCATCATTATTATTATTATTTTTTTATTATTATTTTATATATATATTTTTTTTTCAGTATTTTACCAAAACATGTTATTATTATCATTATTATTATGTTATTTTTTTTACTATCATAATTATCATTATCATCATCATCATTATTATTATTATTATTATTTTTTTTTTTTTTATTATAATTGTTTATTTTTTTTTGTACTATCATTATTATTTTCATTATTATTATCAAAACACGTGACATTTTACACCTCCCCTGTCGGCCCCTGAGTCCAGACGTCCCAGTTTCTGTCCCCTTGTCTCTGTCCCTGCACATTTACACAATCTGTCCCAGTTTTATAAAAGAAATGTCCCAGTGTGTTTGTTTTTGTCCAGTCTGATCCGGTCGACACGAGGACGAGCAGGTTTACAAAGTTCTAACCTGGGACGCGCTCGGTTTGGGATGTTTGGTGTCAAGGAAATTGTGAAAACTGTGAAAACAGTGAATAACTTTGTGCTTTTTCGTGTCAGTCCTGATCTGAGGAACTTCTGACGCTGCTTTTGTTGTTTTTTTTGTTGTTTTTTTTGCTTTCTGTTCATTCACAAACACTTGATCTAGTCCTGGTTTAGACCTGATCTAGTCCTGGTTTAGTCCTGGAACAGTTCCAGATCAGTGGTTTTGTGTAAATCTGTGGGGACAGAAACATAAACTTGACATTTGTTTTGGTAAAATACAGAAAATCTTCTTAAAAACGACGAAAACACAAAGAAAATGAGACTGAACCGACTCGAGTTCGTCATGAAAGACGCATCATGAAGTTTTATTTAATTACGGTGGTTTTATTATTACAAATGATTTAAAAATTTGTTTTTTTATTTTGAAATTCTGGTCACAGACAGTGTTGTGGAGTAATAGATTACATGTATTGGAGTAATCAGAGTACAAATGATGAGTAACTGTATTCAGTTACAGTTACTGTTTCAGTGAGTGGTAATTGGATTACAGTTACTTTGTTGAAATAAATGGATTACACAGAGAACTAAACTAATCTAAACTAAACCAGGACTAAACCAGGTCTAAACCAGGACTAAACCAGGTCTAAACCAGGACTAAACCAGGACTAAACCAGGGACTAAACCAGGACTAAACCAGGACTAAACCAGGACTAAACCAGGACTAAACCAGGACTAAACCAGGTCTAAACCAGGACTAAACCTGGACTAAAGCAGGTCTAAACCAGGACTAAACCAGGTCTAAACCAGGACTAAACCAGGACTAAACCAGGACTAAACCAGGACTAAACCAGGTCTAAACCAGGTCTAAACCAGGACTAAACCAGGACTAAACCAGGTCTGATGAATGATGCGTAATGAAGTTTTATTTGTTTAATTACGGCGCACGTGACACGGTTTTATTATTACAAATGATAAAAAAAAACAGGATTTTTAATTTTTTTTTTTATTTTGAAATTCTGGTCAGAGAAACACGGGACATTTAGGACAGAAAAGACACTTACGCTGCGCAGTAATTATGCTCCTCCACCTCGGGGCCCCTGTGCTGCTCCCCGGGGCCCCTGTGCTGCTGCTCCCCGGGGCCCCTGTGCTGCTCCTCCCCGGGGCCCCTGTGCTGCTCCTCGGGGCCCCTGTGCTGCTCCCCGGGGCCCCTGTGCTGCTCCTCGGGGCCCCTGTGCTGCTCCTCCCCGGGGTTCGTCTCCCAGGCCCCGGTCTCCTCCTCCAGCTTCACTTGCGCCATGTCCCGCCGCGCTCCGGGGACAGTGCGGCGCGGGTGGACTCGGGTTGACTCGGGTGGACTCGGGTTGACTCGGGTGACTCGGGTTTATCTGTCGCGCCGCAGCTCCACAGAACTACAAGTGCTAAAGCTAACCCGCTAGCCAAACAGGAAGTGAGCACGGGCGCACTTCCGTCTCCAGTTCACGACCTCCGACTGGAACTAGTGCGGTGTAGACCCGTTCCACACGGTCCCGGGTTTGGGTGTAGAACTGGTTTAGTCCTGGTTTAGTCCTGGTTTAGACCTGGTTTAGTCCTGGTTTAGTCCTGGTTTAGACCTGGTTTAGACCTGTTTTATTTCAGACACTTTAGAAACTGTCGTGTTTATAAAATGTGTTGTAGATTTGTCCCAGTTTTATAAGAAATGTTCCTGTTTTTGACCAGTTTGATCTAAACCAGGACTAAACCAGGACTAAACCAGGACTAAACCAGGACTAAACCAGGACTAAACCAGAACTAAACCAGGAATAAACCAGAATTAAACCAGGTCTAAATCAGTACTAAACCAGGACTAAACCAGGACTAAACCAGGACTAAACCAGGTCTAAACCAGGACTAAACCAGGACTAAACCTGCCACAAAAAAATTTAATTAAATCAAAGCCGCAAGCAGCATTGAATGGCCCTCATGGGCTGTGCTTTGCACTCGGTCGACGCAGCGCTCCCCCCGGGTGGTGCTCTCCTCCGGGTGGTGGCGCTCTCCTCCGGGTGGCGCTCTCCTCCGGGTGGTGGCGCTCTCCTCCGGGTGGCGCTCTCCTCCGGGTGGTGGCGCTCTCCTCCGGGTGGTGGCGCTCTCCTCCGGGTGGTGGCGCTCTCCTCCGGGTGGTGGCGCTCTCCTCCGGGTGGTGGCGCTCTCCTCCGGTGTGCGCTCTCCTCCGGGTGGTGATGCTCTCCTCCGGGTGGTGGCGCTCTCCTCCGGGTGGTGGCGCTCTCCTCCGGGTGGCGCTCTCCTCCGGGTGGTGGCGCTCTCCTCCGGGTGGTGGCGCTCTCTCTCCGGGTGGTGCGCTCTCCTCCGGGTGGTGGGTGGCGCTCTCCTCCGGGTGGTGGCGCTCTCCTCCGGGTGGCGCTCTCCTCCGGGTGGCGCTCTCCTCCGGGGGTGGCGCTCTCCTCCGGGTGGTGGCGCTCTCCTCCGGGTGGCGCTCTCCTCCGGTGGTGGCGCTCTCCTCCGGGTGGTGGCGCTCTCCTCCGGGTGGCGCTCTCCTCCGGGTGGCGCTCTCCTCCGGGTGAAGAATCACTGTGCCAAATTTCACTTTCTTCCATGAAACTAATAAATAGTTTTATTTGAAAATGTAAGAAACTGTAGAAATGTTCCCGTGAGGAGAACATGGGCACTTCGGCGCATCGCCACGGCAACCAGAGAGAAATATACCGTATGGTCTTTATTGACATTTTTGATCAAGACGACATGAAGAGTCGTCGTGTCAGATTTGAGAATATTCTGTGATTGTAAAATATTTTTCATGATTTTTCTCTTTAGGAAACACTGGAGCTTTTGTGCATCGTCATGGCAACGAGGTTAAAAATACCACAAAGTTTGCGTCGATTTTTAGAGTGAAATGACCAAAGGAAAAGTTCTGCAAAATTTCATCCATCCATCCATTTTCGTCCGCTTATCCGGGGCCGGGTCGCGGGGGCAGCAGCCTCAGCAGGGACTTCCAGACTTCCTTCACCCCAGACACGTCCTCCAGCTCCTCCAGGGGAACCCCGAGGTGTTCCCAGGCCAGTCCAGAGACATGGTCCCTCCAGTGTGTCCTGGGTCTTCCCCGGGGCCTCCTCCCGGTGGAACATGAACACCTCCTGAGGGACACGTCCAGGAGGCATCAGAACAGATGCCCGAGCCTCAACTGGCTCCTCTCGACGTGGAGGAGCAGCGGCTCTACTCCGAGCTCCTCCCGTGTGACTGAGCTCCTCACTCTGTCTCTAAGGGAGACGCCCAGCCACCCTGCGGAGGAAACTCATTTCGAGCGCTTGTATCCACGATCTCGTCCTTTCGGTCACTACCCAGAGCTCATGACCAGAGGTGAGAGGAGGAACGAAGACTGACCGGTAAATCGAGAGCTTCGCCTTTCGACTCAGCTCCTCTTCACCACAACGACCGATACAGCGACCGCATCACTGCAGACGCTGCACCTGATCCACCTGTCAATCTCACGTTCCGTCCTCCCCTCACTCGTGAACAAGACCCCGAGATACTTGAACTCCTCCACTTGAGGCAGAGACTCTCCACCACCCGGAGACGACAAGACACCTTTTTCCGGTCGAGAACCATGGCCTCGGACTTGGAAGAGCTGATCTTCATCCCAGCCGCTTCACACTCGGCTGCAAACCGCCCCAGTGCTGCAGGTCCTGGTTCGATGAAGCCAACAGAACAACATCATCTACAAACAGCAGAGATGAAATCCTGTGGTCCCCAAACCGGACCCCCTCCGGCCCCTGACTGCGCCTAGAAATTCTGTCCATAAACACAATGAACAGAACCGGTGACAAAGGGCAGCCCTGGCGGAGTCCAACATGCACCGGGAACAGGTCTGACTTACTGCCGGCAACGAACACAGCTCCTGCTCCGGTCATACAGGGACCGGACAGCCCTTAGCAAAGGGCCCCGGACCCCATACTCCCAGAGCGCCCCCCACAGGACACCACGAGGGACACGGTCGAATGCCTTCTCCAGATCCACAAAACACATGTGGACTGGTTGGGCAACTCCCATGAACCTCGAGCACCCGATGGAGAGTGTAGAGCTGGTCCAGTGTTCCACGGCCAGGACCAAAACCACACTGCTCCTCCTGGATCTGAGGTTCGACTATCGGCCAGATTCTCCTCTCCAGTCCCTGGCATAGACCTTACCGGGAAGGCTGAGGAGTGTGATCCCCCTATAGTTGGAACACACCCTCCGGTCCCCCTTCTTATACAGAGGGACCACCACCCCGGTTTGCCAGTCCAGAGGTACTGTCCCCGACCGCCACGCGATGTTGAAGAGGCGTGTCAGCCAAGACCCACAACATCCAGAGACTTAAGGTACTCAGGACGGATCTCATCCAACCCCGGAGCCTTGCCACCAAGGAGCTTTAACCACCTCAGTGACTTCAGCCAGGGTGATGGACGAGTCCGCCTCCGAGTCCCCAGCCTCGGCCTCCTCCTCCTCGGAAGACGTGACGGTGGGATTGAGGAGATCCTCAAAGTTTTCCTTCCACCGCCGGACAACGTCCCCAGTCGAGGTCAAGCAGCTCTCCCCCCGCACTGTAAACAGTGTTGGTGAAGAACTGCTTTCCCCTCCTGAGGCGCCGGACGGTTTGCCAGAATCTCTTTGAGGCCGTCCGATGGTCCGCCTCCATGGCCTCCCCGAACTCCTCCCAGCTCCGAGTTTTTGCCTCCGCGACCACACGGGCTGCAGCACGCTTGGCCCGCCGGTACCCGTCAGCTGCCTCAGGAGTCCCCCGAGCCAGCAAGGCCCGATAGGACTCCTTCTTCAGCTTGACAGCATCCCTTACTTCCGGTGTCCACCACCGGGTTCTGGGGTTGCCGCCGCGACAGGCACCACAGACCTTACGCCCACAGCTCCGAGCAGCCGCATTGACAATAGAGGCCGAGAATGAAGCCCACACGGACTCCATATCTCCAGCCTCCCCCGGAATCCGGGAGAAGTCCTCCCGGAGGTGCGAGTTGAAGGTCCCTCTGACAGAGGCTCCGCCAGACGTTCCCAACAGACCCTCACTACACGCTTGGGCCTGCCAGGTCTTTCCGGCTTCCTCCTCCGCCAGCGAACCCAACTCACAACCAGGTGGTGATCAGTTGACAGCTCAGCCCCTCTCTTCACCCGAGTGTCCAAGACACGCGGCCGGAGATCAGATGACACGACGACAAAGTCGATCATCGACCTCCGGCCTAGGGTGTCCTGGTGCCACGTGCACTTATGGACCTTGTGCTCGAACATGGTGTTCGTTATGGACAAACTGTGACTAGCACAGAAGTCCAATAACAAAACACCACTCGGGTTCAGATCGGGGAGGCCGTTCCTCCCAATCACCCCTCTCCAAGTGTCACTGTCGTTGCCCACGTGGGCGTTGAAGTCCCCCAGGAGAACAACGGAGTCCCCGGTCGGTGCACTGTCTAGTACCCCTCCCAAGGACTCCAAGAAGGCCGGGTACTCGAGTACTCAGCACTGCTGTTCGGCGCGTAGGCCGACACCACAGTGAGAGACCTGTCCCCGACCCGAAGGCGCAGGGACGCGACCCTCTCGTTCACCGGGGTGAACTCCAACACACAGCGGTCGTCGAGGCCCCCGCCGTCGACTGCCGCCCAGATCTCTCTGCACCGGCCCCATATGGATCCTCCTGCGGGTGGTGGGCCCACGTGAGGACGGCCCCACGTCGCTCCTTCGGGCTGAGCCCGGCCGAGCCCCGTGGGGGAGGCTCGGCCACCAGGCGCTCGCTGGCGAGCACCCACCCCAGGCCTGGCTCCAGGGTGAGGCCCCGGTGACGCCGATCCGGGCGACGTAACTGGCCTTGTTGGTACATTCATCATGTGGGGCTTCTGAACCGTTCTTCGTCTGACCCGTCCCCCCGGACCTGTTTGCCTTGGGAGACCAGGGGCATGAAGCCCCCGACAACACAGCTCCTGGGATCATTCGGGCATCAAACCCTCCACCACGATAAGGTGACGGTTCGAGGGGCATAATTTCATTTTTTTTTTTTTTTTTTTTTTAAATGCAAAATTTCATACATTTAAAAAAAAAAAAAAGACCCTCCATGTAAAGTCCTGTAGTGTCCTGCAGGGGGAGCTCCCGTTTCGCTCCGTTAAAGTTTTTGTCACAATCATCAAACTTTGGCCAGAAAATAAAAATTATAAATAAATAATTACATGAAAAAAAAAAACAAGTATAAAACATAAAACAGCTCAATAAAAAAACAAAAAAATGAAATAAATTGGGTCAAAATGATGTTCAGTTTGTGGTGTGAAATTTAAATGAAATAAATTTCTGCTGGAGGTTTGGAGGACGAAGTGTTTTGCTCAAAGACACAACAACAACTGAATAAAAACAAATTCAACATTTGAAGGAAACAGGTTTAATCTGGATTTACACGAAGAGCAACGAGAACACAAACCAGGACCAGACCAGGACCAGACCGGGACCGGACCAGGACCGGACCGGACCGGGACCGGACCAGGTTTGAAAGTCTGGCACAGATGTTAGAGTGGATTCTGTAACACTGTCAGTTTTTCTTGTAGTTTGGACTTGAATCCAGGCGAAGACTAGACCAGGATCAGGATCTGGATCAGGATCAGGACCACCGGACCAGGACTAGACCAGGATCTGGATCAGGACCACCGGACCAGGACTGTGTCTCCGTCTTCGATCGAGTAAAACTGAAGAGTCTTCAGATCATTGTTCAACTGGTACTCTGTCCCCACCGCCTGAAACACAAGACCAGGACTAAACCAGGTCTAAACCAGGACTGAACCAGGACTAAACCAGGACTAAACCAGGACTAAACCAGGACTGAACCAGGACTGAACCAGGACTAAACCAGGACTAACCAGGACTAAACCAGGAACCAGGACTGAACCAGGACTGAACCAGGTCTAAACCAGGACTGAACCAGGACTGAACCAGGTCTAAACCAGGACTGAACCAGGACTAAACCAGAACTAAACCAGGACTAAACCAGGACTGAACCAGGACTAAACCAGGACTGAACCAGGTCTAAACCAGAACTAAACCAGGACTAAACCAGGACTGAACCAGGACTAAACCAGGACTGAACCAGGTCTAAACCAGGACTAAACCAGAACTAAACCAGGACTAAACCAGGACTAAACCAGGACTAAACCAAGACTGAACCAGGACTAAACCAGGACTGAACCAGGACTAAACCAGGACTGAACCAGAACTAAACCAGGACTGAACCAGAACTAAACCAGGACTAAACCAAGACTAAACCAGGACTGAACCAGGAATGAACCAGGTCTAAACCAGGTCTAAACCAGGACTAAACCAGGTCTAAACCAGGACTAAACCAGGTCTAAACCAGGACTAAACCAGGTCTAAACCAGGACTAAACCAGGTCTAAAACCAGGACTAAACCAGGTCTAAACAGGACTAAACCAGGACTAAACCAGGACTAAACCAGGACTAAACCAGGTCTAAACCAGGACTAAACCAGGACTAAACCAGGACTAAACCAGGACTAAACCAGGACTGAACCAGGACTAAACCAGGTCTAAACCAGGACTAAACCAGGACTGAACCAGGACTAAACCAGGTCTAAACCAGGTCTAAACCAGGTCTAAACCAGGACTGAACCAGGTCTAAACCAGGACTAAACCAGGACTAAACCAGGACTGAACCAGGACTAAACCAGGACTAAACCAGGTCTAAACCAGGACTAAACCAGGACTAAACCAGGTCTAAACCCGGTCTAAACCAGGTCTTGGTGTGTACCTTGGGGGAGGTGTAGGACAGGTGGAGGTCTGTGGTTGGGACCTTCAGGATTCTGTTGAGGAGAACTTTGACCTTCTGCACCTCCATCGTCTCTGAAGAACAACAACAGGAACAACGACATCATCATCATCATCAAACTGAAACGTTCACCAGATCTACATCACTGAGTTTGTGTCTGAAACTGGTGAAGAGAAACGAGCCGCGTCTGTGGAAAAGTCTCTTCTTCTACAAAATCTGAATCTAAAGACACAGACACAGACTCGGCTCGTTTCTCTTCACACGCTTCAGAAAAACAACAGGACCAGACCAGGACCAGACCAGGACCAGGACCAGACCAGGACCAGACCAGGACCAGGACCAGGACCAGGACCAGACCAGGACCAGACCAGGACCAGACCAGGACTCTGTACCTGGGAGTTTCTTCTCCAGACGTTTCCTGTCAGAGTCGCTCGGAAACTCAAACGAGATCTCTGCAAAAACAAAAATGATGTTAAAGATTTAAAAACTACGAACCAGGACTGAACCAGGACTAAACCAGGTCTAAACCAGGTCTAAACCAGGTCTAAACCAGGACTGAACCAGGACTAAACCAGGACTGAACCAGGACTGAACCAGGACTGAACCAGGACTAAACCAGGTCTAAACCAGGTCTAAACCAGGTCTAAACCAGGACTAAACCAGGACTGAACCAGGACTAAACCAGGACTAAACCAGGACTAAACCAGGACTAAACCAGGACTAAACCAGGACTAAACCAGGTTTAAACCAGGTCTAAACCAGGACTGAACCAGGTCTAAACCAGGACTAAACCAGGACTAAACCAGGACTAAACCAGGACTAAAACCAGGACTAAACCAGGACTAAAACCAGGACTAAACCAGGACTAAAACCAGGACTAAAACCAGGACTAAAACCAGGACTAAACCAGGACTAAACCAGGACTAAACCAGGACTAAAACCAGGACTAAACCAGGACTAAAACCAAGACTAAACCAGGGAGGTACTGACTGAGGAGTTGGTTCTTCAAAGTGAAGGTTTGAGGTTTCTTCATCAGAGACTCTTCCTCAGCTCCAAACTCTAAACACACAACAACACAACACATGAGAAACACACACACACACACAGACACACACACACACACACACACACACACACACACACACACACACACACACACAGACCCAGGTCTCTGGGTCTGGTCTGTGGACTCACTCTGGACCAGGTCTTGGTATCGGGGATGGTCTGTGATGAAGTCTGGACTGAGCTGGCTCCGCCCCCCGGCCTTTAGCCACGCCTCCCCGAACAGTTTAAGGTAGTCGAGCTCCGCCCCCCTGCGCTCCTCCGGCTCCACCTACAAAACAAAACAAACACTCTGGAACTTTTCTGGAGGAGGCTCCGTCCCTGCTGCGCCGCACCTGTCGCTGCTGCGCCGCACCTGTCGCTGCTCTGTCGCACCTGTCGCTGCTCTGTCGCACCTGTCGCTGCTCTGTCTGAAATGTTCCGCAGTGTGACTTTAAACAGATCTGCTTCACATTGATTCAACCGCAGGAGGTTTCACAAACAGACACTGAGACTGTGAGCGCGGTCGCCTCTCCACAGATCTGACCTGGAACTGCGTCTGGTTTGGTCTCCGCGGAGACAGAAAGGTTTAATGCCACACTGTGGAACATTCCAGACAAAGCGACAACATGTTCGTGGAGACAAGCGTCTGGCGGAGCCTCCCTCCGACTCAGACTCTGGTGTGTTAGCGCGTGCGTCTCTATGGAGGAATGTTCAGCAGTTGCCATAGAGACGCGACGCACACATGAGCAAACACGGACATAAAAGTTTAAAGATCAAGAGGAGCACGTTTTCATTTCCCTGAGCTCAGAGCGTTTATGGTTCTGTTCAGGAGTTTGATTTGACACGAAAACTGACTTATCATCAGAAAGCCCACTAGTCAGAAGGCTCACTAGTCAGAAAGCCCACTAGTCAGAAGGCCCACTAGTCAGAAAGCCCACTAGTCAGAAAGCCCACTAGTCAGAAGGCCTGTAGTGAGAAGGCCCACTAGTCAGAAAGCCCACTAGTCAGAAGGCCCTGTAGTGAGAAGGCCCACTAGTCAGAAAGCCCACTAGTCAGAAGGCCCACTAGTCAGAAAGCCCACTAGTCAGAAAGCTCACTAGTCAGAAAATCCTTCCCTCTTCTATTGGTTTGTCAGGAACATATTTTTTGAACAACTGAATGTTTATTTGATGTAAGCAACAGGGAATAATCAAGAATTTGTAAACTTTTGGATGTTTACCAATTAAAAATGGCTGCAACATCAACATTTTTAGAGATATTGACAGGAAAACGCATAATCATGTATAACAGCATTAGCTAAGGCCAGAATTACTTCATTTGTTGGTTTACAAACCCACCAATGCTTATTAAAAGAAAAAGATTTAAAATAAAATTGAAATGAAGGTTGTAGAGCTCGAATTACTGAACATTTTGCAAGTTGTTGCCTGAAAATCAGACAATTATTAACCCTGTTCCACTTAAGACGACATTTCCACACAAATCATTATTTCCTCAAATATTTTTGCTGTATTTTAAGGGTTTAATATATTTATTACTTTTAATATTTACTTTTTAAAATATTTAAAACTTGAAATACAATTTCATTTGTAACAATTTGTATCACGAACTGAACATGGATTTTCTGACTAGAGGGCCTTCTGACTAGAGGGCCTTCTGACTAGAGGGCCTTCTGACTAGAGGGTCTTCTGACTAGAGGGCCTTCTGACTAGAGGGTCTTCTGACTAGAGGGTCTTCTGACTAGAGGGTCTTCTGACTAGAGGGCCTTCTGACTAGAGGGCCTTCTGACTAGAGGGCGTTCTGACTAGAGGGCCTTCTGACTAGAGGGCCTTCTGACTAGAGGGCCTTCTGACTAGAGGGTCTTCTGACTAGAGGGTCTTCTGACTAGAGGGCGTTCTGACTAGAGGGCGTTCTGACTAGAGGGCCTTCGGACTAGAGGGTCTTCTGACTAGAGGGCCTTCTGACTAGAGGGTCTTCTGACTAGAGGGCCTTCTGACTAGAGGGCCTTCTGACTAGAGGGTCTTCTGACTAGAGGGTCTTCTGACTAGAGGGCCTTCTGACTAGAGGGCCTTCTGACTAGAGGGCCTTCTGACTAGAGGGCCTTCTGACTAGAGGGCGGTCTGACTAGAGGGTCTTCTGACTAGAGGGCGTTCTGACTAGAGGGGACTAGAGGGTTCTGACTAGAGGGCCTTTCTGACTAGAGGGCCTTCTGACTAGAGGGCTTCTCTGACTAGACTAGAGGGCCTTCTGACTAGAGGGCGTTCTGACTAGAGGGCCTTCTGACTAGAGGGCCTTCTGACTAGAGGGCCTTCTGACTAGAGGGCGTTCTGACTAGAGGGCGTTCTGACTAGAGGGTCTTCTGACTAGAGGGCCTTGACTGACTGACTAGAGGGCTTCTGACTAGAGGGCTTCTGACTAGAGGGCGTTCTGACTAGAGGGCGTTCTGACTAGAGGGGTCTTCTGACTAGAGGGCCTTCTGACTAGAGGGCCTTCTGACTAGAGGGCCTTCTGACTAGAGGGGACTCTTCTGACTAGAGGGCCTTCTGACTAGAGGGCTTCTGACTAGAGGGCGTCTGACTAGAGGGCTTCTGACTAGAGGGTCTTCTGACTAGAGGGGACGTTCTGACTAGAGGGCCTTCTGACTAGAGGGCGTTCTGACTAGAGGGCCTTCTGATGATAAGGCTGACCCCATACTAATACTAACACTAACACGAGCCTGTGACTGTGATGTTTTTGAGTTCAGATCAGTCGGTTCTTTCTGGTCATTTGGGTTCAAATAAAACTCAGATTAAGTCTAAAGCTGCGTTCAGACGGCGGCGTCACGGCGGCGTCACGGCGGCGTCACGGCGGCGTCACGGCGGCGTCACGGCGGCGTCACGGCGGCGTCACGGCGGCCAGTTTACATGTAAAGTCTACGGCGTCCTGTGTTTGAATCTGCTGTCGACGTGAAGCATTTTCAGAGTTCGACGGCAGAAGCTGAAAATGCTGAACTTTTGACATTAACCAATCAGGGACGAGTATCCAGAGACGTAGAGAGACAGCGGGGGGTGGGACAGTGGGGACATGGGGACAGTGGGGGACGGGGGGACAGTGGGGACAGTGGGGGACAGACGGGGGACACGGGACAACGCACACCTTGAGTTAAGGACACACTTGACACGGACGACACCGACACGAGAGGGCACACTGACCGAGCACACAGACCGACGCACACGTTAGAGGGTAAACACACACTGACGACGCACACGCACACAGACCGACGCACACAGACCAACGCACACGTTAGAGGGTAAACACACACTGACCGACGCACACAGACCGACGCACACGTTAGAGGATAAACACACACTGACCGACGCACACAGACCGACGCACACGTTAGAGGGTAAACACACACTGACCGACGCACACAGACCAATACACACAGACCGACGCACACGTTAGAGGATAAACACACACTGACCGACGCACACAGACCAATACACACAGACCGACGCACACAGACCGACGCACACGTTAGAGGGTAAACACACACTGACCGACGCACACAGACCAATACACACACACACACAGACAGACGCACACAGACCAACGCACACGTTAGAGGGTAAACACACACTGACCGACGCACACAGACCAATACACACAGACCGACGCACACAGACCAACGCACACGTCAGAGGTTAAACACACACTGACCGACGCACACAGACCGACGCACACAGACCAACACACACGTTAGAGGGTAAACACACACAGACCGACGCACACAGACCGACACACACGTTAGAGATTAAACACACACTGACCGACGCACACAGACCGACGCACACGTTAGAGGATGAACACACACTGACTGACGTACACAGACCAACGCACACAGACCAATACACACACTGACCGACGCACACAGACCAATACACACACACTGACCGACGCACACAGACCGACGCACACGTTAGAGGATAAACACACACTGACCGACGCACACAGACCGACGCACACGTTAGAGATTAAACACACACTGACCAACGCACACAGACAGACGCACACGTTAGAGGATAAACACACACAGACCGACGCACACAGACCGACGCACACACAGACCAACGCACACGTTAGAGATTAAACACACACTGACCAACGCACACAGACCAACGCACACCTTAGAGATTAAACACACACTGACCGACGCACACAGACCAATACACACAGACCGACGCACACAGACCAACACACACGTCAGAGGTTAAACACACACAGACGACGCACACAGACCAACACACACGTTAAACACACACAGACCGACGCACACAGACCAAGGCAACACAGACCAACGCACACAGACCGACACACACGTTAGAGATTAAACACACACTGATCGACGCACACAGACAATGCACACGTTAGAGGATAAACACACACTGACCGACGCACACGGAGCAACGCACACGTTAGAGGTTAGACACACACTGACCAACGCACACAGACCAATGCACACGTCAGAGTTTAGACACACACAGACCGACGCACACACCAGAGGTTAGACACACACGAGACACACCGACACACACACCAGAGAGTTAGACACACACAGACCGACGCACACAGACCGACGCACACACCAGAGGTTTAGACACACACAGACCGACGCACACACCAGAGGTTAGACACACACAGACCGACGCACACACCAGAGGTTAGACACACACAGACCGACGCACACACCAGAGGTTTAGACACACACACGCAGACCGACGCACACACCAGAGGTTAGACACACACAGACCGACGCACACACCAGAGGTTAGACACACACGCAGACCGACGCACACACCAGAGGTTCAGCCCGTCACCCTCCAGTCCTACAGTAATGTCCCAGTGTGGTGTTTCCACGGCGACGCTCTCACCTCACTGATGTTGTTGTTGTTGAGGTTCAAGTTCCTCAAAACAGGAAACGGTTTGTTCTCTTCTCCTGAAAATCAAAAATACACTTCAAATAATCTAATCCCAGTAAGAGCCCTCCTGCCCCAAACTGCCCCAACCTGTCCCATCTGCCCCAAACCTGCTCCAACCTGCCCTAAACCTGCCCCACCTGCCCCAACCTGTCCCATCTGCCCCAAACCTGCCCAACCTGCCCCAACCTGTCCCCTGCCCAAACCTGCTCCAAACCTGCCCTGCCCCAACCTGTCCCATCTGCCCCAAACCTGCTCCAACCTGTCCCTCTGCCCCAACCTGTCCCATCTGCCCCAAACCTGCTCCAACCTGCCCTGCCTGCCCCAACCTGTCCCATCTGCCCCAAACCTGCTCCAACCTGTCCCTCTTGCCCCAACCTGTCCCATCTGCCCCAAACCTGCTCCAACCTGCCCTAAACCTGCCCCATCTGCCCCCAACCTGTCCCAAACCTGCCCCAACCTGTCCCATCTGCCCCAAACCTGCCCCAACCTGCCCCATCTGCCCCAACCTGCCCCAAAGCTCCTCAACCTGCCCCAAACTGCCCCAAACCTGCCCCAACCTGCCCCAGTGAGTCCGGGTCACTCGAGTCCGGTCTAAGCTTTACAGATTCACTGTGTAACTTTTCCGTGTGTCAGATGCCCTCCCCGGTTCAGCGGAGGGTCTCACCTGGTTTGGCGTCTGTGAACTGGATCGAAGAAAACCCGGTTTCAGACAAGTTCAGCCGCTCCAGTCTGAAACAGAACCACAATCAGAACCAGAACCACAAACAGAACCAGAACCACAAACAGAACCAAAACCACAAACAGAACCACAACCAGAACCACACACAGAACCAGAACCACACACAGAACCACAACCAGAACCAGAACCACAAACAGAACCACAACCAGAACCACAACCACAACCAGAACCACACACAGAACCACACACAGAACCACAACCACAATCAGAACCAGAACCAGAACCACAAACAGAACCACAACCAGACACAGAACCACACACAGAACCACACACAGAACCAGAACCACACACAGAACCAGAACCACAAACAGAACCACAACCAGAACCACACACAGAACCACAACCACAAACAGAACCACACACAGAACCACAACCACAATCAGAACCAGAACCAGAACCACACACCAGAACCACAAACAGAACCACACACAGAACCACAACCACAATCAGAACCAGAACCACAACCAGAACCACACACAGAATCACAAACAGAACCACACACAGAACCAGAACCAGAACCACACACAGAACCAGAACCAGAACCACAACCAGAACCACACACAGAACCACACACAGAACCACACACAGAACCAGAACCACAAACAGAACCAAAACCAAAACCAGAACCACAATCAGAACCACACACAGAACCACACCTCCGTCTGCACACGCTGATTTAAAGCTCTATTACGGCACATTACTGTTTAAAGAGGAGGTGTTTTACTGGACACACTTCAGCATCGCCACGTTTACATGAAAACTTTAATTCCAAACAAAAGTCATTTGATTCTGAATAAAATAATTCCTCATCAAAAATTCCATGTAAACACTTAATTCCTGATGAAAATGATGATTGTGATTGAATCTTAACAGTGAAGTAAGAGTTTGTTTCTTCTGAATTTGTTTGTCTGATCCCGTTTGTGGTTTGTTTCAGGTTCGTCGTGTCGTCCTTCGATCTGGTCCTGGTCCTGGTCCAGTTCTGTCTCGGGACTTTGATCCGCGTCTCTTTGGATTTGTGAGTGGGATGCGGGAGTGGGCTGAGCTTTTGTCTTCTTCCTCACTTCTCCGACGCTCTTCCCTCCTCCTCCTCAGCTCACAGACGGAAAGTGTGACGAGACGATTCTCCAATTATCATCAGAACCACTGCGGCTTCAAAAAGTCTGGACGTGTTTGTGTCCGTGGAGGAACCACAAACCGAGATCTCTGCCGCCTGACGCCTCGACTCGACTGTCTAAAACGTTTTAAAACTGAACGAAGCAAAGACTGAGGTGATGCTGTTTGAGTCCGGCGGTTCGTCCCACAGTCACTGACCTCGGCGTCGCCTTTGACAGTGATTTAAAATTTGACAAATAAATGTGGTGTTTTAAAAATCAAGTTTTATCATTTGCGGCTTTTATCTAAAGTCAAATCTTTTTTTTCTTTTAAACTTTTTAAACAGGTCGTGCTTGTATTTCATTTTTCGACTTTTAACGGGAACAAAAAGAAGCGAGCACATCACCTCGATCCTTGCATCTTTACCCTGGCTTCTTGTTAAGTTTAGATCTGACTTTAAGATTTTATTGTTTTTTAAAGCTTTAAATGTTCTGGCCCCGCGTCCATGTCTCGGACGTCATCGAAATGTTCTCCCCCTGTTCCCTCTGAGGTCTGAGCTCCAGCTCCAGGGGACAAGACTTAAAACCAGGGGGTTCAGGACTTTCTCTGTGGTTGGCCTTAAACTCCGGAATGCTCTGGAACACTCTGGAACACTCTCGGAATGCTCTGGAACGCCGTGGAATGCTCTTGAACGCTCTGAAACGCTCTAGAACACTCTCGTAATGCTCCAAAATGCTCTGGAACGCCCTGGAAAACTCTCGGAATGCTCTGGAATGCTCTTGAATGGCCTGGAACACTCTCGGAAAACTCTGGAACGCTCTGGAATGCCCTGGAACACTCTTGGAACGCTGTTGAAACGCTCCGAAACGCACTGGAACGCTATTGAACACTCTGGGAACACTCTGGAACACTCTCGGAATGCTCTGGAATGCCATGGAACGCTCTGGAACGCCGTGGAACGCTCTGAAACGCTCTAGAACACTCTCGTAATGCTCCAAAATGCTCTGGAACGCCCTGGAAAACTCTCGGAATGCTCTGGAACGCTCTTCAATGGCCTGGAACACTCTCGGAACTCCCTGGAACGCTCCGGAATGCCCTGGAACGCTCCGGAATGCTCTGGAACACTCTGGAACGCTCTGCCGCTCCACAGTGGAGTGTTTCGAGTCCCGTCTTAAGACCCACTTTTCCTCTCTGGCTTTTAACACCGCGTGAGTTGTTGCTCCTCTGTGGTTTTTATTTATTTTTAATGTATTGTTTTGGTTTTATTTATTTATTTCTATTCTGTGGCTTTGCTCTTAATTTATCATTTTATTATTGTTGTTATTATCATGTATTTGTGCAGAACTTTGGAAACAGTTTGGGCTTGTGGGCGGAGCCTCGTACTGCTAACCGTAAGGAGGGTTTGAATAGATCTCTAGATGAGTCAAACGCTGCACTGTCAGAACACGGGAGAAACGCTCCAGCCTGGTGTTTAAAGTACAAACAGAAACAGGAGCGGCGGGTTAAAGCTCCACTGCGGGACATGTCCTGTGGTACCTGGGCAGAGACGACAGGGCCAGAACCGAGTCCTGGTCCAAACGGTTCCGGGACAGATTCAGGGACTTCAGGTTCTGCAGCAAGTCTGGACCAGGACTGTGGAGAACAAAAGAATAAAACAGAACTAAGATCAGGACTAAAGCAGGACTGAACCAGGACTAGACCAGGACTAGACCAGGACTAAACCAGGACTAAACCAGGACTAGACCAGGACTAAACCAGGACTAAACCAGGTCTAAACCAGGACTAAACCAGGACTAGACCAGGACTAGACCAGGACTAAACTAGGTCTAAACCAGGACTAAACCAGGACTAAACCAGGTCTAAACCAGGACTAAACCAGGACTGAACCAGGACTAGACCAGGACTAAACCAGGACTAAACCAGGACTAAAGCAGGACTGAACCAGGACTAGACCAGGACCAGACTAAACCAGGACTACTAAACCAGGACTAAACCAGGACTAAACCAGGACTAAACCAGGACTAAACCAGGACAGGACTAGACCAGGACTAGACCAGGACTAGACCAGACCAGGACTAAACCAGGACTAAACCAGGACTAAACCAGGACTAAACCAGGAACTAAACCAGGACTAAACCAGGACTCTAAACCAGGACTAAACCAGGACTAAACCAGGACTGACTAAACCAGGTCTAAACCAGGACTAAACCAGGACTAAACCAGGACTAAACCAGGACTAAACCAGGACTAAACCAGACTAAACCAGACTAAACCAGGTCTAAACCAGGAAACTAAACCAGGACTAAACCAGGACTAAACCAGGTCTAAACCAGGACTAAACCAGAACTAAACCAGGGCTAAACCAGGACTAAACCAGGACTAAACCAGGACTAAACCAGGTCTAAACCAGGACTAAACCAGGACTAAACCAGGTCTAAACCAGGACTAAACCAGGACTAAACCAGGACTAACTTGGACAGAGTGGAGATGTGGTTTCCCTCCAGACTCAGGTCCTCCAGCTGTGGCCACATGGGGGCGCCCTGCAGCACCTACGGAAAAAACACAGGTCAGAGGTCAACCTGAGGCCCGACCCCCCCCCCTGACCCCCTGACCCCCGCGAGTCTGACCTGAGTCCAGCAGAGGGCGCACTCGTTCAGAGCCAGCTCCCGGAGGTTGGTGAAGGCTCCAGAGAGTCCGGGCGGGTCCGAGGGCAACTGCAGCCGGTTAAAACTGAACACACACACGGAAGAGGGGTACTTTACTTCTGGGGGGTATTAAAGAGGAGTCATTTATTTCTGTGGGGTATTAAAGAGGGGTCATTTACTTCTGGGGGTATTAAAGAGGGGTACTTTACTTCTGGGGGGTATTAAAGAGGGTCATTTACTTCTGTGGGGTATTAAAGAGGGTCATTTACTTCTGTGGGGTATTAAAGAGGGGTCATTTACTTCTGGGGGTATTAAAGAGGGGTAATTTACTTCTGGGGGTATTAAAGAGGGGCATTTATTTCTGTGGGTATTAAAGAGGAGTCATTTATTTCTGTGGGGTATTAAACACGTTTGTGATGAGGGAATTACTAAAATCTATAAATATTAAATAAAATAAAAACATCTAAAAATAATAAATAAAAAACAATAAAATCTAAAAATAATAAATAAAAATAAATAATCTATAAATACCAAATAAAAATCAATAAATAAAAAATAAAAATAAAATCTAATAAATAATAAATAAAAATCAATAAAATCTAAAAATAATAAATAAAAATCAATAAAATCTAAAAAAAATAATAAATAAAAATAATCTATAAATAACAAATAAAAATCTATGAATAATAAAATAAATATAATAATAAAATCTATAAGTAACAAATATTAAAATATGAATAATAAAGTAATAAAATCTGAGTAATAAATAAAAATAATAATATCTATAAATAATAAATAAAAATCAATAAAAGTAATTGAAGCTATAAATAATACATAAAAATAAATACATCTATAAATAATAACTAAAACTAATAATAAATAGTTGTTGTTGGACTTGAGGCGCTGACCTGAGCTGCAGTCCCTCCAGCGCCTCCATCTGTTCAGCGATCGCCGCCACGTCGTCCCATCGACCAATCAGAGTGCGGCTCAGGTCCAACCACCGCACATGTGACACGGTCAAGGACCAATCACAAACAAGGACTCACACCAGCGTCAACCAATCACAAAGAAGGACTCGCACCGGAGTCGACCAATCACAACCAAGGACTCACACCGGCTTCGACCAATCACAAACAAGGACTTGCACCGGAGGAGAAGAAGAGGAGGAACAGGAGGAGAAGAGGAAGAGGAGGAGGAGGAGAGGAGGAGAGGAGGAGGAGGAGGAGAGGAGGAGGAAGAGGAGGAGGAGAAGGAGAGAGGAGGAGGAAAGAGGAGGAGGAGAGAGGAGAGGAGGAGGAAGAGGAGAGGAGAAGAGGAGGATGAAGAGGAGGAGGAGAGAGGAGGAAGAGGAAGAGGAGAGAAAGAGGAGGAGAGAGGAGAAGAGGAGAAAGAGGAGAGAAGAGGAGGAGAGAGAGGAGGAGGAGGAGGAGAGAGAGGAGAGGAGAAGAGGAAGAAGAGGAGGATGAAGAGGAGGAAGAGGAGAAGAGGAGAGGAGAAGAAGAGGAAGAAGAGGAGGAGGAAGAGGAGAAGGAGAGAAGAAGAAGAGGATGAAGAGGATGAAGAGGAGGAGGAGAGGAGGAAGAGGAGGAGAGGAGAAGAGGAAGAGGGAAGGAGGAGAGGAGGAGAAGAGGAAGAGAGAAAGAGGAGGAGAGAGGAGGAGAGAAGAGGAGGAGAAGAGAAGAAGAGGAGGATGAAGAGAGAGGAGGAGGAGGAGGAAAAGAGGATGCAGCAGTAGGATATTGGGCGTGGTTTTCCGGATCTCTCCGTGGGCTCCGGCTCGGCTCACGTCGCGGCGGTTCAGGATGACGGACGAGAGGCTCTCGAGGCTGAAACACAAACACTCGTTCACTGACAGGTGAGTTAAAGCAGCATTACGGGACTTTTCTGTCTAATCGCCGGCGCTCGGGTGACGTCACGACACTCACTGCATTCAGCACGGAAATCCAAACGGGAACGTCGGGAAAACAGACTCTGGGGCTCAGTCGGTGCCGGTTGGACGTCCGTGTAAAAGGAGCTTTTATGGCGAGTGGGAGGAGCTTTTACGGCGAAAGGGAGGAGCTTTTACAGCGAGTGGGAGGAGCTTTTACGGTGAAAGGGAGGAGCTTTTACAGCGAGTGGGAGGAGCTTTTACGGTGAAAGGGAGGAGCTTTTACAGCGAGTGGGAGGAGCTTTCACGGCGAAAGGGAGGAGTTTTTACGGCGAGTGGGAGGAGCATTTACGGCACGTGGTAGGAGCTTTTACGGCGAGTGGGAGGAGCTTTCACAGTGAAAGGGAGGAGCTCCATTGGCGAGTGGACGGGGCTCTGTTGGCGAGGGGGCGGGGCTCTGTTGGCAAGGGGGCGGGGCTCTGTCGGCGAGGGGGCGGGGCTCTATCGGCGAGTGGGTGGGGCTCCGTTGGCGAGGGGGCGGGGCTTACCTGTGCTCCCAGCCATGTTTCCACTCGACGCTGACGTCTTCACTCAGGATCTGGTCCCGGTCCACGTCGTAAACCTGATGCACGACCGTCAGGAAGTCCAGACCGAAGGACACTTTAGACGGACGCACGAAAGAACCAGAACCAGGCACGCTGAGGACAGACGAGAACTCAACCAGGACTGGACCAGGACTGGACCAGGACTGGACCAGGACTGGACCAGGACTGGACCAGGACTGGACCAGGACTGGACAGGAGGACTGGACCAGGACTAGACCAGGACTGGACCAGGACTGGACCAGGACTGAACCAGGAACCAGGACTGGACCAGGACTGAACCAGGATTGACCAGGACTGGACCAGACTGAACCAGGACTGGACCAGGACTGGACCAGGACTGAACCAGGACTGGACCAGGACTGGACCAGGACTGGACCAGGACTGGACCAGGACTAAACCAGGACTAAACCAGCTTTCAGTATTAGTAAATATTCCATAAAAGTAGTATTAGTAGTAGTACAAGTAACAGTGGTAGTAGGAGTAGTACTACTAGCAGTAATAGTGGTAGGAGTATTTGTAATAGCAGTATCCATAATATTATTAGTAGTATTTTGAGTAGTAGTAGTAGTAGTAGTAGTATTTATAGAAGTAACAGTAGTAGTAGTAGTAGTATTTATAGAAGTAGTAGTAGTATTTATAGAAGTAGTAGTAGTAGTATTTGTAGTATTTGTAGAAGTATTATTAGTAGTAGTAGTTGTAGTATTTGTAGAAGTATTATTAGTAGTAATCGTAGTTAGTATTTATAAAAAGTAGTAGTAGCAGTAGTCATAGTACTCATAGAAGTATTATTATTATTATTAGTAGTAGTAGTATCATAGTAGTATTTATAGAAGTATTAGTAGTAGTCATAGTAGTATTTATAGAAGTATTAGTAGTAGTCGTAGTAGTATTTATAGAAGTAGTAGTAGTCGTAGTATTTATAGAAGTAGTATTAGTAGTAGTAGTATTTATAAAAGGAGTAGTAGTAGTAGTAGTAGTATTTATAAAAGTAGCAGTAGTAGTAGTAGTATTTATAAAAGTAGTAGTAGTAACCTGCAGGTGAAGTACTGCATTCCCTCGTGGACTCCGTCATGTTTCCCTCTGTCAGGATTGTCCCACTCCACCCCGAGCCACACCCCTACAAACACACAACAACACACAAATAAACACAAAAACACACACAAAACACACAAAAACACACAAAAAACACACAACAACACACAAAAAACACACAACAACACACACACACTCCACCCCGAGCCACACCCCTACAAACACACAACAACACACAAATAAACACACAACAACACACAAAAAACACACAACAACACACAAATAAACACACAACACACAAAAAACACACACACAAAACACACACACACAAAAAACACACAACAACACACAAAAAAACACACAACAACACACAACATTAAAACACACAACACACAAATACAACACACAACACACACAAAAAACACACACAACACACAAAAAACACACACAACACACAAATACACACACAACAACACACAACAACACACCACAACACACACACAACACACACAAACACACAAACACACACAACAACACACACAACAACACACAACAACAACAACTCACACAGCCACACCCTACAACACACACAACACACACAAAAACACACAACAACACAACACAAAAACACACAACAACACACAAACAACACACAACAACACACAAAAAACACACAACACACACACACACTCCACCCCGAGCCACACCCCTACAAACACACAACAACACACAAATAAAACACACAAACACACAAAAACACACAACAACACACACAACACAAACACACAAACAACACACAACACACAAAAACACACAACAACACAAAAACACACAACAACAAACACACAACACACACAAAAAACACACAACAACACACAAATAAACACACAACACACAAATAAACACACAACACACAAAAACACACAACACACAAAAAACACACAACACACAAATAAACACACACACAACAACACACAAAAACACACAACAACACACAAAAAACACACAACACACAAATAAACACACAACAACACACAAAAAACACACAACAACACACACACACTCCACCCCGAGCCACACCCCTACAAACACACAACAACACACAAATAAACACACAACAACACACAAAAAACACACAACAACACACAAAAACACACACAACACACAAAAAACACACAAAACACAACACACACTCCACCCCGAGCCACACCCCTAACAAACACACAACAACACACAAAAGAACACACAACAACACACAAAAACACACAACAACACACAAAAACACACAACAACACACAAATACAACACACAAAAACACACACAACACACAAAAGAACACACAAAAACACACAACACACAAAAACACACAACACACAAATAAACACACAACAACACACACACACACAAATAGGCAAGGCAAGTTTATTTGTATAGCACAATTCGTACACAAAGTAATTCAAAGTGCTTTACAGAATAAGAAATACATTAAAATCATAATAAAAACAAATCAAAACATAAATAATCATGAAGATTAAAATTAAAAAAGAGAGACATAAATTGGAAGAGAAGAGTGCGGAATGAAAACCTTTCAGTTATTTGCACAGTTAAACAGAAATGTTTAGAGTCTGGATTTAAACAGCGTCACAGAAGAGTCTGTCTCACATGTTCAGACTGTTCCAGGTTTTAGCTGCAATGAACCTGAAACTCTGACTCCCTTGTTTAGTCGTGACTCTGGCACCAGCAGGAGGCCGGTCCCTGAGGTCCTCAGAGTGCGAGATGGTTCATATGACACTAACATGTCACAGATGGACTTTGGTGCTCGACCATGGAGAGACTTGTACACAAGCAGAGCTGCTTTAAAGTCTATTCTCTGAGGCACAGGAAGCCAGTGCAGAGACCTGAGCACAGGACTTATGTGCTCGTACTTCCTAGTTCGAGTAAGGACCCGAGCTGCAGCATTCTGGATGTTCTGCAGCGTCTCACAGCTCGTTTGGAGAGACCAGTGAGCAGAACATTACAGTATCTAACCTACTGGAGACAAATGCATGGATAAGTTTCTCCAAGTCTGATTTAGACAGTAAACCTTTGATTTTTTCTCTGTTTTTTAGATGGTAAAAGGCTGCAGATGTTATTGATTTGATGTGGCTGTTAAAGTTCAAGTCTGAGTCCATTATTACCCCGAGATTTCTTGCCTGATTTGAAGGTTTTAGAGAGAGAGACTGGAGGTGACTGCTGACACTGTCCCTTTGTTTCTGTGGACCAAACACTATGACTTCAGTCTTGTCAGAGTTTTAGCTGGAGAAAGTTGTTTTGCATCCACACACTGATCTGTTGGATGCAGTGACCAAGTGAGTCCACTGGTCCATAGTCTCCTGCTGCCAGAGAGACGTAGATCTGAGTGTCATCTGCATAATTGTGGTAGGACACGTTATTGCTGCTTATTAACTGGCCTAATGGCAGCATGTAGAGATTGAACAACAGGGGGCCCAGGATTGACCCCTGAGGCACCCCACAGGTCAGGGCCATGTCATCTGAGACACAGTTTCCAATTTCAACAAAATACTTCCTGTCTTCTAGATAGGACTTGAACCAGTTTAGTACAGTACCAGAGATGCCCACCCAGTCCTCTAGTCTCTGTAAGAGGATCCATGATCCGACAGTGTCAAAAGCAGCACTCAGATCTAACAGGATCAAGACTGAGACTTTGCCTGCATCAGTGTTCAGGCGGATGTCATTTGTCACCTTGATAAGAGCAGTCTCAGTGCTGTGGAGGCTCTAAAACCTGACTGGAAAAACATCAAAGGAGTTGTTCATTTTGGAGAAAGTTCGTAAGCTGTTGGTAAACAGCTTTTTTCAAGGACTTTGCCAAAAAACGGCAGATTTGAGATGGGTCTGAAATTGTTCAGTACTGTGGCATCAAGACTGCTCTTCTTTAGGAGAGGCTTAATGACCGCAGTTTTCAATGCGTTTGGGAATGTTCCAGATTGAAGTGACATGTTAACTATGTGAGTGAGTGGTGAAAGTAAAACTGTTGAGGACAGACTTTAGAAATCTAGTGGGTAACATGTCCAGGCAGCAAGTAGATGAACTCAGACTGGTAACGATCTCTAAAACAGTTTTGTCAGTTACAGGTGCAAAGTGATTCAGCTCTAAGTGTCTCTGTGGCTGCAGCTTGTTATTTGTGTTGTGGAATTGATGGCATTTTTGATGCCCTGAACTTTGTCATTAAAGAAAACTGCAAACTCATTACATTTAGATGTGGAAATTAGTTCTAGTGGCAGTGGAGCTGGAGGGTTTGTTAATCTGTTCACTGTTGCAAACAGGACACGAGAGTTGTTACTGCAATTACCAATAATGTCCGAAAAATACTTCTCTCTTGTTTTACTCAAAGTGTAGTTGTACATATGCATTGTTCCTCTGTAAATCTCATAATGAACCTGGAGGTTTGACTTGCGCCATTTCCGCTCAGCCTTCCGTCACTCCCTTTTCTGTGCTCTGACTGAGTCATCATTCCTCCACGGAGCTTTTTGCCTCTTTAACCATTTTAACCTTTATCGGAGCGATGGCATCCAGAACATTCAAAACACTCAAAGTCACAGAGTTCAACACATCATCAACATTAGAACATGAGGCAATTTCAAAATGTATCATTTCCATGAACAGTGCACCTGTGTTATCATTTATGTGTCTCCTTCGAACAACTGTAGGAGCAGCCGGTGGTTTGGGAATAACAGACAGGTCAAAGAAGACACAGAAATGATCAGACAGAGCAACATCAACCACACTGACATTTGAAATATTTACACCCTTTGTAATGAGCAGGTCCAGAGTGTGTCCTCTGTTGTGAGTGGGCTCACTGACATGCTGAGTCAGACCAAAAGTTTCAAGGACAACACTAAGCTCTTTGGCATTTTTGTCACACACATTATCCACATGTACATTAAAATCACCTGTAATGACTAAACCATCAAAGTCTGTGCAAACAACTGAAAGCATCTCAGTAAAATCATCAATAAAACTTTGACAGTGCTGAGGAGGTTTGTATATGACTATGTAGAGTCTGGACGGTGATTGTTTTAGCTCCATTTTGAAGGAAACAAACTCAAATGATGAAAACACCCCAAATGACAACCTGTGTGTAACCAAATGATCTCTAAAAAATGCACACACTCCTCCACCCTTTTTATTTGCTCGTGTTTCAGATTCAAATTTGAAGTTGGGAGGGGTTGATTCCACTAGCACTGCATGACCTGTGTTTTTGTCAAGCCATGTTTCAGTTAAAAACATAAAGTCAAGATTAAAAGAAGAAATAAAATCATGAATTAGAAATGATTTGTTACATAAAGATCTGACATTGAGCACAGCAAGTTTCTGATTAGTTTCAGTAGGATTGGGTGTTATCTTCTTACAGGGAACGTGAACTAAATTTCTCTGATTAGACAGTCTAACTGTCCTTCTTTTAATCTGTCTACGTGTTGTAACTGGAGCTATAGCTCCATCGCAGGGCCCCAGCCTGATATTACCTTTATCATGACTGTATGTCCTGGGACAGCAGAGGCCCTGTGCGTCCAGCTCTTGGTGATAACAGCTCTGGGGAAAGGCGGGGGAGGGCGAGCAGGGGAGAGTTTGGGTAAGTGACCAGGTGAGGGCCGAGGAGGTGGCCGAGGAGGTGGAATACGGGGAGGTTTGGGTGAGGGGCCTGGTAAGGACCGAGGAGGTGGAGTAGGGGGAGGTTTGGGTGAAAAATTAGAGGGGAGAGCTGAGAGAGTCTCTGGTGGTGAAACAGGCACAGTTTTGTATGGGGGAGAGTTCAACATAACCCTTGACCGTGCTAATGTTAGGTGTGAGAGGAACCATCTTGATTCCCGATCTGATGAGGCTTTCTAGATGGTTGGGCAGTGCCATGGGTGAAGGTGGGGAGGAGAAGGAGAGTGAAGAGTTCGTTGATGGAGTAGATGTAGCAAGGGGGACTCCAGGCTGGTCTGTGGGCAGCGGAGGTGATGGGTGTGCTGGTGGCGCTGGGGGAGGTGGTGGTGGTGTTGCTGACTCATTCTCTGGGGGAGGTGGTGCTGCTGACTTGTTCTCTGGGGGAGGGGGAGGTGGTTCTGCTGACTTGTTCTCTGGGGGAGGGGGAGGTGGTTCTGACTTGTTCTCTGGGGGAGGGGGAGGTGATGATGCTGCTGAGTTGTTGTCTGGGGGAGGGGGAAGTGGTTGTGGCAGTGGTGGTGCTGTCAATGGTGCTGACTTGTTGGCTGGTTCTCTGTTAGGTGCAGCAGGGATGCTTCTCCCATTTTCTCTTTTCTCTCACTGGATGCACAGGACCCTGTCCAGGCCGGTGCCTCAGAGCGTGGAGGAGGTTTTCCGTCAACACTCTCACTCCACCTCTGCTTAGGTGTGGGCCATTTCCCTCGAACAGGTCCTTCCGTTTCCAAAAAAGATCAAAGTTCTCAATGTAGTGCAATCCTCTGGCCGCGCACACATTCAGCAGCCACGTGTTCAGCTGAAACAGTCGGGTAAATTTGTTCCTGTTCCTTAGGTCTATGTTGGGAAGAGGTCCACTGATAAATGTCTTAACCTCCACTTTATTAAGCTCCTCGAATAATTTTGTGAAATCCCTTTTCAAGACTTCACTCTGTTCCATTCTGATGTCCACTGCACCCACATGCACAATCAGCTGTTTGACCCCTTGGTGTGTTGACAAAACTTTTGGCAGGAGTTTTGTTATCTCAGAAACAGTGTACGTCGGGTAGCAGCATGTTAGGATTCTTCTGTGACTCACACCACTGATGCCCCGTCTCCTAGCAGCAACGTATCTCTGACCTTGACGTTTGGCACAGATTCCCGGTATGCCTGCACTCTTTTGGCAACTTTATTGTTCTTGTTTTGTGATGACAGTACATTATCCCTTTGTACGTTAACATCAGTCTGTGACAGTGGTGAAAATCTGTTTGTAGCTTTATTGTGGGTGATATAACGATATTAGCATTGTCTTTTATCACTCGCTGCGCTGGCTTAGCATTTTGGTCTGTACCAAGTTTTGGAAAAGACACAGTATCACTCAGGTTTAAGTTGAAAGAATTTTCACCCTCTTCTCTGGAAGTAACTGTAGGTTTCTCACCACTGGACGTCACTGGTAGCGTCTGATGAAGTCCTTTTTCAGTTTCTAAAGCAAATATCCGTGCTTGTAGCTCATAAATGTCTTGTTGATAGATCCGACAGCGCCCACAGATAGAATTCCCTTGGTTTCTTCTCCCCGACATGTTGCTGCCTCATCAGATGATTTGTTTAAAAAAAAAATGTAAAAATGTTTAAAAGTATTAATTTACTTAAAAGGAAATCAAAAATAGCCGTTGTTGGAGGAGGTAAACTGATTAAAAAGCAAAAACAGCAAAAACAGCAGGAGCAAGCAAGGATAGCGTCCGCACTCTTCTCCGGTAGAGATAAATAAGTAAATAAACACACACACACAACAACACAACAACAACAACACACACACACACACACACACACAACACACAACACACACAACACACACAACACACAACAACACACACAAAACACACACAACAAACACACAACAACACACACACACAACACACACAACAAAACACACACAACACACACAAAACACACACACACAACACACAAAAAACACACAACACACACACACAACACAAAAAACACAACAAACACACACAAACACACACAACACACAAATAAACACAACAACACACAAATAACACACACAACAACACACAAAAACACACAACAACACACAAAAAACACACAACAACACACAACAACACACACACAACACACTCCACCCCAAGCCACACCCCTACAAACACACACAACAACACACAAAAAACACACACAACAACACACAACAAAACACACAACAACAACACACAAATAAACACACAACACACACAAAAAAACACACACACACTCCACCCCAAGCCACACCCCTACAAACACACAACAACACACAAAAAACACACAACAACACACAAACACACACACACACTCCACCCCGAGCCACACCCCTAAACACACAACAAACACACAAATAAACACACAACAACACACAAAAACACACAACAACACACAAATAAACACACAACAACACACAAAAAACACACAACAACAAACACACACTCCACCCCGAGCCACACCCCTACAAACACACAACAACACACAAATAAACACACAACACACAAATACACTGTACAACAACTCACCCTTATGTCACAGATAATACTCCCTACAATGGTACAACAACTTACACTAATGTAACAGATAATACTCCCTACAAATGTACAAATCCAGATTATGCAACAAATAATACTCCCTACACCTGCAAACCTCACTCTTATGTCACAGATAATACTCCCTACAATAACTCACTCTTACGTCACAGATAATACTCCCTACACCTGTACACCTCACTCTTACGTCACAGATAATACTCCCTACAATAACTCACTCTTACGTCACAGATAATACTCCCTACAGTAACTCACTCTTACGTCACAGATAATACTCCCTACAGTAACTCACTCTTACGTCACAGATAATACTCCCTACAATAAGCAAAAGATGTTCATTTTGTCTTCTTATATACTTTAAATTCTTGGGTTGGGGTCGGGGTCTTGATGTTAATACTTGCTGGCGTGATGTTCTCGTCTCTGCATCGGAGGTTGAAGTGTAGGTGGTTGTTGTAGCGGGCGCGCGCTTTTTCCAGCCTCTCCAAATGGCGAAGTGCTTTGACACCTCTTTGTCCAAATCTTCTTCTTATTAAGCAAAAGAAAAAAAAGCGCGCGCACGCTATAATAACGTCACAGATAATACTCCCTACACCTGCACACCTCACTCTTATGTCACAGATAATACTCCCTACAATAACTCACTCTTATGTCACAGATAATACTCCCTACAACTGTACAACTCCAAATTATGTCAAAGATAATACTCCCTACAGTAACTCACCTTTGTGTCACAGATAATACTCCCTACAATAACTCACTCTTACGTCACAGATAATACTCCCTACAATAACTCACTCTTACGTCACAGATAATACTCCCTACAGCTGTACACCTCACTCTTACGTCACAGATAATACTCCCTACACCTGTGTCCGGGCTCGGGTCTTGCCTTGGGTCGGCGGTACCGGGCCCACGTACCGCACCGTGGCCCGCTCTCCCGCGCAGGAAACCCGCCTCCCCACGGCGTCCTCCGGCAGCGCAGGCTCCGGGTCCGCGGCCATGAGCGGCCGAGGGAAGAGACGCGACAGGCGGCTACAGAAGCTCCGGGACACGCCGCTGAGCCGCGGAGCTGACGCCGGCTACAGGCTAACGGTGAGGCGGGGAGGCGTGAGGGAAACTCCCGGCGGCGCTGCGGACGAACTCCCGGGCAGAGTGTGGGTGGTGATAAGAGCAGAAATGGAGGAAGATTAAAAGTGTTTTAAAGTGAAATAAAGAGTTTAAAGTGTTTAAATGGTTCCGGTTCTGGTTCTGTTCGGGAGGAACTGCGGACCAAAACAAAACCGCACCGCCGGAAGACGGAAGTGACGCAGCTCCAGTGTTTTTTTTTTTTTCTTTCTTATTTTTCTTTATGTTTTTTTTTTTTTTTTTATTTATTAATACTTCCCAGATACAAACGAAAAGGCACCATACAAAATTCACATCCAAACCGATTAAGAAAAAAAAAAAAAAAAAAAACAACCCAAATTGCAGTTGTGAAGAAAAATGTAAACAAGAACACATTCACGAATGAACCGTGGGGGAAAATTCTAAAGCTGGAATCAAAGGAACAAATTGGCATCATTTAAAAAAGATACAAGAAACCAGTTTCTCTTTTTTCAATCCGGTTCAATGAATCAACAAAAATTCTTAGGTCATTACTAAAGTACGTTATATTTGGTTTTACCTTAAAACATCGACATTTGTGAATAATTTTTTTTCCCTAAGATTAATAAATTATTAATTCCAAATTCCTTCCTTTTATCTTCTCTTAATACACCAAATTTAATTTCTTTTATTGTTAGGGGGGCAAATTTAACTCCCCTGGACCAAAGCAATGAATGAAAATCAAACCAAAAATGTTGTACCAAACTACATGAAAAAGCTCGAGTGTTAAGATGCAAAACTTTTATTTTATTGCATTTTGTGTTATTTTATTATTATTATTATTATTATTATTATTATTATTATTATTATTATTATTATTATTATTATTGTATTACTTTTTTGTACTACCATTATTATTTTTATTATTATTATCATTATTATTATTATTATTATCATCATCATTTTTTTTATTATTAGTATTAGTATTTTATTAGTAGTATTAGTATTTTATTAGTAGTATTATTAGTATTATTAATATTAACCGGGTCAGCCCACCGAGTCCGGGTCAGGTGACACGGGCGGAACTGACGAGACAAAGCGCCGCTGGAGCCCGGAACAGCAGGAAGTGGAAGCTCAGAGAACGCAGGATTATTTATGTTTTAAACGGGAGATTTTGTGTTTTAAAGCGGGATTCTCGTGTTTTAAAGCGGGACTGTTGCTCCGTGAAGCCGGTGTAGATGGAGCTGATCCGGAGAACATGATCCTGGTCCCGGTCCTGGTTCTGTTTTTGCCCCGGCTCGTCGCGTCTGAGTCCGCGGGCCCCGAACTTCTGCCCCCGGGGGACGTGGAGCTGCTGGAGGTGAGTCCCCCCGAGTCTCCCGAGTCTTCCCCGAGTCTCTCCCGAGTCCTTCCCCGAGTCTCCCGAGTCTCCCCGAGTCTCCCGAGTCTCCCCCGAGTCTCCCGAGTCTTCCCCGAGTCTCTCTCTCCCGAGTCTTCCCCGAGTCTCCCCCGAGTCTCCCGAGTCTCTCCCGAGTCCCCGAGTCTCCCCCAAGTCTCCCCCGAGTCTCCCGAGTCCCAGTGTCCCGAGTCAGAGGCGGTACCGCAGCGCTCGGGTCGGTCCGGTCCCAGTTTATACAAAAAATGTCCCAGTGTCTCTATTTTGGACCAATCTGATCTAAACCAGGACTAAACCAGGACTAAACCAGGACTAAACCAGGTCTAAACCAGGTCTAAACCAGGACTAAACCAGGACTAAACCAGGTCTAAACCAGGTCTAAACCAGGTCTAAACCAGGACTAAACCAGGACTAAACCAGGACTAAACCAGGTCTAAACCAGGACTAAACCAGGACTAAACCAGGAACTAGACCGATACTAAATTAGATACTAGACCGGGACTAAACCAGGACTATTCCAGGTCTAAACTGAGTGTTTTTTAGAGTATTTAGTGTTTTTTAGAGTATGTAGTGTTTTTTAGAGTTTTAGTGTTTTTTAGAGTATGTAGTGTTTTTTAGAGTATTTAGTGTTTTTTAGAGTATGTAGTGTTTTTTAGAGTATTTAGTGTTTTTTAGAGTATTTAGTGTTTTTTAGAGTATTTAGTGTTTTTTAGAGTATTTAGTGTTTTTTAGAGTATTTAGTGTTTTTTAGAGTATGTAGTAGAGCCCGACCGATATGGATTTTGTTGTGGTCGATATGAAACCGATAAAACAGGAGTTGGAGCTGTCGATATAATCACCGATATATTTAGTGATGTAAAAATTCACTGTAAATGTTGAATTGTTTAAAAAAAAAATGGTTTGTCTCTGGTGGATTTTAAATTGTTTATGTAGGAAACATTTCTTGTTCTTCTGACTCTTTACGTCACATTTACAGACAGTTGGATTAATGACATTTTTACATCGTCACATTCTAGACCAGGTATGTCCAAACTGTGGCCTGTGGTCCAAATGTGGCCCTCAGACACATTTTTCTTGGCCCTCAGTCTTCCAGGTGAATTGACCCAAATGACCTTGCATCAATTAAAAATTAACTTTTTGAAAATCTACCTTGATAAAGCGAATATTTTATAGCTAGTGTGTGGTTTTATGGATCTTAGCGTGAGTTAAAGATCATTCTAACGCAGGGGTCTCAAACTCAAATTAACTGGGGGCCACATTAGATAAAGTCTGAGTGAGGCTGGGCCGAGTATTTGATAAATAGCGGTTGCACAAAAAAAGAGAGAGAAAGAACAACACGCAACACACTTTCTTAATCTGTAATAACAGTAGAGCCCGACCGATATGGATTTTGTTGTGGCCGATATGAAACAGATATGATGGTAGTTGGAGCTGCCGATATAATCACCGATATATTTAGTGATGTAAAAATTCACTGTAAATCTTGAATTGTTTAAAAAACTTAGGTTTGGCTCTAGTGGATTTTAAATTGGGTTTATTAAGGCAACATTTATTGTTATTCTGACTCTTTACATCATATGTACATACAGTAGATTGACCTAATGGCATTTTTGCATCACATTCTAGACACTAGTGATGGGTATTCCAGTTTTTCTTTTTGGAAAACTGGCTCTTTTGGCTCGGCTCACTGAAGCAGACTGGCTCTTTCGGCTCCCAAGCGACTCTTGAGATTGTTTTGTTGCAAGCAGGACTAAACCAGAACTGAACCAGGACTGAAAAAGGACTAAACCAGGACTAAAACAGATTTAAACCATGT